TTTCATAAACCAAGAATCACATTGATCACAACCCAGATAAGGACCATACAAGAAAGTAGATTACATGTGTCACTCATGGGCACAGATGTCCAAAATATTAAACAAAATATTAGCAAACTGAACTCAGCAATGTATAAAACAGGTACTATATCAAGGCCAATTGGGATCATACTAGGGATATAAGATTGGCTTAAAATTAGAAAATTAATTAATGTAATTGACCAAAGGGGAATATCAAAGGGGTAAAACCTCACAGGATCATAGCATTTGATAAAACAACTTTTTGTGATAAAGTTTTTGTCAACTAGGAATAGGGGGATACATTTTTAATATTATAAAGACATCCACAAACTATCCATAGCAAAATTGTATCAATGCAAATGTTAAAAACATTCCATTTAAACTAAGGAAAAAGTCAAGGATGACAACTACCATAATTATTATTCAGCATTGTTTTGGAACTCCTAGTCTGTGTACTAAATTTTTTAAAAAAGAATAAAAGGTATACAAATTAGAAAGAAACAAACTATCATAGTTCACATGACTCCCTATCTACAAAGAAAATTAAGAAAGCATCCACAAGCAAATTAGAGAATAAAATTTTGCAAGGTTGACAAATAGAAGATAAATATTCAAAATTTAAACTTATTATTATATAGCAGCACTAGTTAGAAAGTATAATTTTAGGAAAGATACTATTTAAATTAACCAAAAAGAAACCTAGCAATAAATCGAACAGATATGAAGATACTCATGTAGAAAATTATTAGACTTGAATGAAAACTTTAAAGAACTAAATAAATAGATAAATGCAAAATGGTCACAAATGGTAAGACTATATCATAAAAGATGCAGAACTTCCCTAAGTTAACCTATAAACTTCATACAAGGGCAGACAAATACAAGAAAATATTTTAACTTAACCATTAGATTCTAAAATTTATGAGAAAAGTCAAGTACCAGTCAAGACTGAACTCGAGAAAAAAACAAGAAGATAAATAAATTGCTCTTCCAGATATGAAGGTTTATCATAGAATAATAGAGATAGTCAAAGAGAACAATGGATGAAAAAAGAGAGGCCAAAACAGACTCTTCATATATCAAAACCTATATAGGACAGAGAATGCACTGCAGATTATTGGGGAAATATGCCAGAAAATTGGTTATCTATATGGAAAAAGAAATGTGGATACATTATGGAGTGAATATTTATGGCACCCCCAAATCCACTCACACATTGAAGCCAAATACCAATGTGATAGGAATTGAAAGTGGGTCTTTGGGAGGTAATTAGGTTTGGATGAGGTCATGTGTATGGGGTCCCCATGATGCAACTAGTGTCTTTGTAAGACGAAGATGAGAGACTAGAGCTCTCTCCCTCTTCACTATGAGGCCACAGTGAGAAGGCGGCTGTCCACAAGCCAGGAAGAGGACCCTCACCAGGAACTGAATGTGCTCATACCCTGATCTTGGACTTCCCAGCTTCTGGAACTGTGAGAAATAAATTCCTGTTGTTTTAACAGTTTATAGGTTTTTGGTTTTTTGTTGTTGTTTTTGTTTGTTTGTTTGTTTTTGTCAGCCTGAGCTAATACAAAATGCCAGTTTTATCTGTACAAACAATTTAATTCTGGGTGGATTAAAATCACAAGTAGGAAAGTCAAAACTTAAAGATTTCTAATAGAAAATATAGGAAAACATCTTTGTGACATAGAGTAGGGAAGTATTTCTTAAATAGGACACAGAAGTGTTAACTTTCAATGAAAAATAATTGACATGTTTTACTACATTAAACCTAAGAATCTCTATTGATCAAAAGGTACCATAACGTGAATACAAAAATAGCCATTATTGGAGAGATGATGTTTTCAACACATATCACCAAGAATTTGCATACAGACTATATAAAGAACATATATGAATGAATAAGGGAAAGGAAACAGAAAAGAAGTGCTGAACAAGCATTTTACAAGAGAGGAAACATAAATGGCCAATAAACATATCAAAAGATGGTCAACCATGGCAACCATGGAAATACAAATTATATACCATTTTCCATGCATGCATGTGTACACATAATTCAACAGTGTCACAACTGCTAGAGTTGGTGAGAATGTGAAGCATTAGGAACTATCATATCTTACCACTGGGAGGATCAGTTTGTACAGTCACTATTGAAAAGAACTCCACATTGCCTAGAGAAGCTGAACACGTGTGTAATTTACCTCTACCACAGGTACACCCTAGAGAAATTATTGCGTATGTGAACCAGGAAATGTGCATAAAAATGTTCTCTGCCTTATTATTTGGAATCATAAAAAAAACTAATACAAACCCAAATTACATCAATACAAGAAAGCTAATCTGTCATATATTACACAATGGGATGTTATACAGTAATGAAAGTACATGAACTGCAGCTCTATTCGTCTCTATTGTTAAATGTCAAAATCAATGTGAACCAGAAAAAATAGTCAAAAAAGAGCTATGAAAAGTGGAAAGAGACAAAACCAAACAATACACTGTCTTACAAATATGTCACAATAAATAAAAATCAGGATAGTGGTTTTCTGAGCAGAAGTACACTGAGAGACAACGTGATGAGAGAAAAAGTCACCAAATGTCACCAAAGTACTGGTGATGTTCCACTGTTCATCTGAGGGGCAGGTTCATGCCTGCTCATTTAGTTGTTCCCTCACTACTCGGCACGTGTACATTATACACACTGTGTTCCAGACATGCTATTATAAAGACAAAACCTTGGCAAATCTCAGTCTCTATACAAAGCCATATTCAAAAAAGCATGATCAACACAGTCCCAAATAATAATTTTTAAATGATTATAAAATAATCTGTATTTCCATTCTCAGGGTATCCTCTCTCCTGCTGACCATCCAAAGTCCTCAATCAAGGCTTAGAATATCTATCTATCTATCTATCTATCTATCTATCTATCTATCTATCTATCTATCTATGTTGAGGCCATTGGCCTTTTGGTTTTTCTCCTTGATAAATAATTTAGTATTCTTCACAAATCCATTGCAAATCCAGACTTCTGCAGCAGCGGACTGGGAAGTCCTAGTCCCCCGGAGAGGGTAAAACGTCAGTGATCTCTGGGCCAGAAGGTCCCGCAGGCTGCCCTGCTATATTCTTATCCCATGGGAAACTAGAAGACGTTCCCTCCAGGGATCAGCCTTACCCAGGTTTTTATCAGCCACTGTCCACTCACTGTTGCTCCCTCCACAAAGTCCCCGGAAGGCAACTCACAGCAGGATCGCTGTTGAGCTTTTTAATAACCATTCCAGCTATTTTATGGAATTCATTTATCAAAAAATATAAACTGATGTCACACTAGATGGTGTGACCAACCTCCCTCCACCGAGGCTCATCGCTGTCGGCTGGCAGTGTCTCAGCTTATACCCAAGGGGACTTGGCAAACACTCCATTGGGAATGTTCACTCTTGAGCCCGTCATACATTTTAAGCAGCCTGTCCACCTTGTTTCTTTAGAGCTTCTCATGCTGCCTACTGACTTTAGAGTAAGTATAATCCTTGCTTCCTCTCACATCGATTTTTGGGTTTACAGATATTACAGCCTTTCAGGATCGAAGACATCTGTTCCTTTCATAACCTCCCAAATCACTTTAGTTTCATCACAGATGCTCTCTGCACCTTCTCTAGCTCCTTTTCTTTCCTCATCATTATCATCAAGGCCAGCAAAACCCATGCTACACTTTACTCATCAGAGCAGCAGGGCAAAGCTGGCACTGGCTCCTGGTGGCATGTGAAAAGAAGGTGCCCAAGTGTGGGTGAATCCCCAGGTCACAGGCTGAGGATGACAAAGTACTGGGGCGGTTACTTGGTCATCGGGCAGAGAATTTGTGTGTTCAATTCCTGAGCAGAGTGAGTGCCTTTCACTAGATGGCTTCCAAACTCAAGCTGGATCATGGTCTTAGCTGAGTAAGGATTTGGTGCTTGATGTCTTCGGATGCAAGGCAGGGAAAGGGGAAGGGGAAGGGGGAAGGAAAAGGAAAAGCCTCAGATGGGCCCGTACTCCCAAAGACAAGCCAACAAAGTTACCTGAGGGAATTTGGACAGGTGAAAAAAATGAGTAGTATTCAAATACCAGTGCAGTTTAATCAAAGTGCCATTTTTTTTTTTTTGTTAAAATGACTTTAATTACTGGAATGCACAATTTTTTTTAATATGCAAATAAAAAGTTTTAAAACTTAAAACAAATCTGTTACCTAAACAAGTCCAATTTTACTTTCTATTTCAGGACTGTACCGCACCTCTGCAGGTTAATGAAAAGGATGTAAATGGAGTAAAAATATCACCACTGCAATCCTGTGTTGAAAATATATGCACGGATATCTGGCATCACTACATGGCACTTCTGCCTCCTCTCTCCCAAGCTCCAAATTGGATTTGACGTTCTATAGATTAGTGTTACCAATATCTACATATTTTGAGACTGCTCTTCTTTTAACTTTGATTCAATATTTGAAAATGTGGCACCAACTCTTCTTAACCGTCCTCACTTCTGAGGCTGAAGGTGAAGGTCTCATCATGAGAAATGCTGCTGAGCAAGCTGACCTGAGAACAAGGGTAAGAACTTAATGCTCTGAGCTGCAGATTATGGTCAATAGGAGGCCAGGACCCATCCAGCACAAACAACCTAAGAAATCTCTAAAGAAAATGTGGTAAGGAAGGCAGATAATATGTACTGCCTATTAGAGAATAGCTAAGAATTACAAAGTAGAAAAGAGCGAAGATTATCCTTGAATACTGTTTTCATCAAAAATCCTTGGAAATTTCAAATGAATATTGTTCAAGACCTGTTTCTACAAAGGTACAGGGAGGTTCTGAAGCCACAGCTACGATACGTGTATATTGACATGAATTTTATACTTTGCCTCCAAATAAAATAAGGTGTAAGTAATTTGTTTGCATTCTGACCAAGAAGCACTCCTGCCCCCCCAAAAGAAGAAATGCTGGACTTACATTGGTGACATATTCGATGTCCTTCCAAAGGATGCACTCCCTGGGGAAATCAGCCAAGTCTAGGAAGTGATCCACCACCACTTGGCCGATTAAGTCATGGCGAGAGAACCTGTCAAAGTCGTACACAGAGAAGTGAAGCTTCCGGGCTGCGAGTTCATTGTAGGGAACAGGAAACAAAAACACTTCATCGAACACAGGGTTCAGGGTCTTTCTGTGAACTTTAGTCTGGTGTTTTGTTTTCCGATCAGGAAGCAAATAGATCTTGACATAAGGATCTGAAGTCCCAGAAAAGTCCTTGGCAGGCAAATTGACAGCTTTATGAATCTTCACTATGAGCTGCTCTAAGTCACAGTCATATTTTAAAATAAAGTTCAGTTTACCACAGGCTTTGCTGTTATTCCTTCTCCCATCATCATTATCCAATGACCTCTGTTTATATAACTCTGGTTTAATTCGACCAATTCCAGCCAAGTGTTCCTGTTTTTGAAGCTGCTGGATATTGAAGTCCGGGTTTGACAGGTTGAGTTGTCTTCGGATTGAATTATGCCTTGAATGAAGAGCAAGAGAGGACAAAGTTATAAACTCATTAGCTACGGTTCTTTCAGAAACTTGTGCATGGGATGTAGGCAGACTGCTACGCGCTGTTAAAAGCTTAGATCTGTGGGTCTAAACTCAATATGTTCATCGATGTGAGTAAGCTGCTCCCCAAGGTTTGAGGCCCAAAACTGAGGCCTGCTATCAGGAAATGAACTTAACTACATGTGACCTTGGCTCTTTAAAGGTTTAATGCACTTTCTAAACGAATATGCCATAAAAAAAAGCTTATTTGCCTGGTGGAAAGGAAAGATTTGTTCAGACTCCTTTAAAAATAAAAGTATTCCCTTTTCTATATAGTATCATCCTGACACTGAAATAGTTAGCTGTGTATCTTCTGAAGAAGAATGAATCTTTCTTTAAATTAAACAGAATTTCCTGTCGCGGGCTTACAGCTTACAGCTTTATACAGATGTATATTCTTATTGGTTCAAATCACATCATTCCGTTACAAGAACACAGTTTTTGCTTTTGTGAAAATGTACGTGACAGGATGGCTCTGCTCGGAGTGGACTGTGTTGGCTGTGACAGGTGTGGGTGTCAGCTCCGAGAGTGCGTTTCCGTGACACCACGTGGGCAACAGCTGAGCAGTAGGAAGGAGCTGATTTCTGTACCAAACACTATGGGTATAAAAGGAAAGGTAAGCTACTACCCGTGTATACAAGGATTCACTTAGAGAAGGTTGGATACTGACATTTGCAAATGCAACCTTTGCTAACAGAATCTACTCTTCACCCTCTAAGTTTATTGGTTTGGGTTAAAAGTTTCCCTGAAATTCTCTCTGAAATGTGCATTATCGTGTGAATCTTCACAAACTGAAAGAAGCAGTCATTATATACAAGGTTGTTTTTAAGGCTATTTTTGTTCATTTTTAGCTCAGAGTTTAGTCATGATACTGCATTTTCTGTAGTCTCTCAATAACCTTAATTGAAATAGCCTCTCTCCACCAGGTCAAAGGGAATGGCCAGCCTGTATCTGAAGGATTGGTACATAGCTGGAGAGGCAGAGTAAACATTTGAGTTTATCTTCTTTTCCTTTCTTGAGACTACTTTATAAAATAAAGTTGTAAAAGCGGGATTAATAGCCCCTAAGACATGTTTGAAAACACTCTCCCTTGTCATACAGATGTTGTTATGCTGAACACTCCTCTTCATCCTAAAATACACTCCTGGTCACTAATCACCCACATGGTACAACAGGGTACAGTCACAGCGCTGCCACCTGTACCTGTCACAGCCAACACTGTCTGCCACAAGCAGACACACTCCGGGCACACACATTTCCACATGAGCAAAAATTGTGTGGTCTGAAAGTTTCTACTGTGAGATTTTAATTTCTTACAGAGAAATCCACTATCCTAAGTTTTCTCTGTATCTTCTGATTTTTCAGGGATAGGAAGAGAGTCAGGGGCTGCTCTTAAGCATCCAAAACTGGCTCTCTGTGCAAGTACAGCTGAGACATCCCCTTGTCCAGATGTTGAACTTCTGCAGTTCAAGAATAGAGTGTTAGTTTTGCTCTGTTGGGCTCTCTGGGCAGACAAGACTGGCAGGGAGCAGCAAGTATCCAGCCCTACACAGAGACCACAAGGGGCTGGTACCAGCTCTGGTTTCTCCTGCTACTGATTTCTCTCTTGAGGCTGGATCCAAACAAGAGCTGTTTTGGGGTCTGGAGTCAGTTCCCACCTATGATGGGCCATTCTGGGAGCTGTTAATTAGTGAGGCCACTTAATTACTAGAAGTGCTCCATCAAGACTCACTGGTTGTGTTTTCTCTGCACCAGCATGTATGATGGGGCACCAGTTCTGTGTCCACGCCAGCCCCAGACCCTCTGCCACTCTGCTGTCACTTTTCTCCTGAGCTGGTGGCTGGGCAGACTCCCGGTGCATAACAATGTGCCTTCAATTATTTTGGAGAGTGCGGTCTTTAGATTCATCACAGCAAGATTTTGTCTTAACCTTTATCTGTAGGTCTAAGCCTGCCATGTAAATATAAGTTTTAATTTAAAACTACATGAATTTGGCTGCTTAGCAATGGAAATACTCTGTTTTCCTTGTCCATTTTCTTAAGGCATGAAATCTGAAGAGAAATGAGTCCTACATGTTTTGCTGTTCCCAACCACAGTAGACTGTCAGGGTATAGAGTGAGTAGACTGGGGAGGACATTTCAGAGAGATCTGTGATTCAAAGACCAAAATATTTCCTCAGAAAGCAATTGCATAGATGCCTCCAATCAAAATTTCAACACAGCTGAAGACTCCTTTTTAAAAAAATCAAACAGGTATGAACACTATTATCCACCCAAATGTTTTACGTGACATGCTTTATTCCCAACAATTCCCCCCATTCAGAATCACACTTACTATGGGGAGAACAGTTGAATCCAACTGTAAGGTAGTGGCTTAAAGCAGAGAGGAGAGATAGTAACAGGTCAGGACAGTTCTCACTCCCTGGGGCCCTCTTTCAAGTGGCTTTCAATTTCCTTTCAGGAGCGTCAGCGATGCCCTGGGTTGGAGGCATGGACTAGAGAAGCTCAGGGCCGCGCGAGAACCCAGCTAACTAACTTACCACCTTTGCAGCTCTCTGGGCTGAGAAATGAGAAAGCAGAGCAGGGACATGAGGAAGAGGGGTAGAGGAGATGGAAAATCAATACTCCATGGTTCTCGTAGGCTATCAAGTGGAGGTGGGGAGATAAGCAAGTCAAAAGCAAGACAGAGGAAAGACACAGAACAGGATGTTGTGACCTGGCTCCTGGCGCCCCAGATGAGGGTTTGGTTCTAAGATGGTCTATGGAGGTGGTTCGTGAGTGCAATGAGCTAGAGCAGCCGCCCCGCCAAGGGTGTAGAATTTTAATGCCAGGGAATGACACTGAGTAAGTGTAATGAGGCGGGACCTGTGTCGGAAGCAGACAGTCCTTAGAGGAGGTCTGGGGAGCGCTGTATTTTGGTGTTCTCAGGACTTCAGGTGTACAATGACTGGAAGGAGAGGAGGTGAGCCTCAAAAATGGGGTGTGATAAGGAGAGACAGTGTTCTCTGTATACAAGTCACACCCCAATGCTGCCTCAGAGAAGCTGGCCCCTGGAGTTGGAACTCTCAGCTTCCCCCACCTTCCGTAGAGGCCATTTTCCTGTCTGAAAGAGGCCAGGTGAGAACTTTACCCAGACCTGAGCTGGAAGACTCGTGGCTGAGCCTGCAGAACACCTAATTTCAAACATGACTAACAAAATCCATAAAGCAGACTCCCCATAACAAACTCAAAAACACACTTTCCTTCCTGAAGGAATCTGAGCCTGGTGTTCAGCTGCAGCCAAGGGTCAGGAGAGGCAGGGGCCCAGGTGCAAAAGGCTTTTTCTCCTCTTCTTTCCTCAGATTTGAATTAACCAGGTCCAGCATCCCACTTGGAGTCCCTGAAGTCTCAGTCCCTGAGCCATCACCTAAAAAACCAACTACCTCCACTGGATCTTAAAAAAGAGAACATTAATGCATTTCAACAAATTTGAATGTGCAAAGAAAGGGGTCATGTAAGGTGGAAGGGAGAGAGAGGAAAAGCCTAGTCATTGCCTTCAATGAGATGACTCCCAGGCAGGCGATGAGATAGTCATATGCAAACTATATATACATCCGGGCAGAGGGGGATAAAAAAAACAGCTGGAGGTTAGAGAGCCACAGAAGCAGAAACAGAGGGAAAAACATGCCTAGCTTGGGAAACTGTCAGGGAGGAGATGGTACTTGAGCTGAGCCTGCTTACTAACTTGGCCTCATGCTTACCAGCCTCCAAGCCGAGGCTCTAGACCTCAAGAGGGAACCTCACTAAGTTTTCATCTCGGCCCCAGCTCTCCAGCAGGAGGAGGCCTTCGGCTCTTTTGCCCCAGCAGCTTCTCCTAACACCCAGTGCCCAGAACCTCCAGCACCCTCCCCATTGCTGGGTTTCCCCTGGGCAGCCATGGACAAGGGCACACTCTTATATCCTCCCTCACCTCAGGGACCCAATTTCAGGGGTGAAACTTGGCCTATGTTTTCCTGGTTCTGGGGCATTCATGTTGACAAGGCTTCAGGGTCCATGGAGAGGAAAGAGAAATAAGTAAACTGTGATTTCAGAACCACCATGGGCTTCTTTACTAGGTTCAAGTCAAGACAGAGAAGTTGGGAAACAGTGGAGACAGGACTCTTATGTTCCTTGTCTTGAAACACCCGGGTTTATGGAGATGGAAGAGTTGCATTGTCCTGACCCATAGGCAGACACAGAGGAAGGGGGAGTCACAGGCAGGGACAGATGCAGTCAGCTGACTACAAGGGCAGAACAAGGGAATCTGAGGCTTTTTAAATTTGTTTTCATTAGTTTTTTTCCTTTTTATTGGCTTTATTGGGGTAACATTGGTTATTAAAATTATATGGGTTTCAGGTCTACAACTCTTTAAGACGTCATCTGTATATTGTATTGTGTGTTCAAGACCCCAAGTCAAGTCTCCTTCCATCACCATTTATTCCCCCTTTCCCCTCTTCTCCTTCTCCCCACCCCCCCTCTTCCCTCCGGTAACCACCGTACTCTTGTCTGTGTCTATGAGCTTTTTGTTGTTTTTGCTTAACCTCTTCGTCTTTTCCACCCAGCCCCACAATCCCCCTCACCTCTGACAGGTGTCAGTCTATTCTCTATTTATGTGAGGCTTTTTTGCAGTGGAGGTCAGAGGCTTCTAGAGTGAGTGAGAAGATGAAGATGTAGGCATCAGGCCTTGGCCAGTGGAGGAGTGTGGTCAAGTGCAGTTAGACACACTGAAGCATAACCAGCCTCTTCCCACCCTCTCCCAAGTTAAAACAGGTTGAAAACCTGGGTGTCATATTCAAATACTGTGTCCCTTCTTACTAAGATGAGCCTATGTCCCCATTACTAAGATTGGCCTTTCTCAAAGAAGCTCAAATCTCACACCTCTTTCCTTTCCTACTGCTTCCAACAGAGTTCAGTCCCTCATCCCTACAGGCCTGAACTGGTCCCACGTCCAGTCTTCACCCTGTTCCACACATCTTATATGCTCCTGCCACATTCAACAATTTGAGCACTTAAATGTATGTGATTTGTGCTCTTCTTGTGTATTTCATCAACTAGTTTGTGGACCTTTTGAGGCCAGAACTATATCTTTTTTCTCTTTATTATTAGCACATAATATAGGGCTTTGCACATAGCAAACGCTTAATGCATGTGTCTAGAGTAAATATATGAATGCCATGGACATAGTAGTTTGCTATAATTAAATCCTGGTAGAAAAAATACACATTTACGTCTAGTTGAGAGAGGTCTAGACAATTTCCATTTTGAAGCTGTCGGTATATTAAAATCTGAAGAAGTAACTAAAAAAAAAGAATTCTAAAAACTGTTTCACTTGTTTCTATCTAGCCAATGCTCTCAACACAAAACAATCTAGCTTGATAGAATTGTGCTACTCATTGACTAATTACAACATTTAATCCTAGTGCATCACTTATTCGAGTTGCAGCAAATAATGGGGTTATTCAAATTTAAAGTGTGATGATTGTCTTCTTTGAATTTGGTCAGTGTATTTTTATGACTCTATGAATTGCCTCATTTGAAGAGACGGTCAACAGTCTGTACATAAGGCTCTTAATAAAAGCGAGACCTGGTATAAATGGCCCCATACCAGCCTCGCACCATTCCAGGTCTTACTCAGTTTATATTGTACTTTTGGCCTTTTGCCATTCCTGTCAGCAGAACGTGAGCAAAGTGACCTGATATTGACGAATGCATTGCCAGTCATTCATGAAAAAAGTCTGCTATATGCCAGAGGCTGCGCAAGCGGTTACATATTCAGGGGAGAAACACAGTGGATGTGGTTGGTCTGTGAACTCACAGAACTCACAGTCGAAAGGGGGTATAGGCAATAAACAATCAATCATTTAGTTAAAAATAGAGTTCAATCCCAGTGGAGAAGTGAAAGCAATGCCCTGGGTAAGAGAATTAAGAGTGGGAGGGAGTGGAGAAGACAATGCATACTTCACACAGGGTGAGCAAGGAGGTCTTTCTGAGGTGACATTTGAGGTTGGAAAGAAGGCTGCAGAAGAGCCTGGGATAGCAAAAAGGGAACAGCATTTCAGGCTGAGGGAACAGCATGTGGTAGGGCTCCAAGGCAGGAAAGAGCTGGAGATATGGAAGGAGCTAAGAGAGAGGCTACTGTAGATGGAATGTGATGAGCTTTTTCACGGAAAGCCTCCTGCCGAGTCCATGTTAACAGTGCCCTCTGGGGTTGTGTCACATGGCGGCCCTGGCCGAGGGGGAGCCGACAGCGGACAGAAGCAGACTGTGGCAGTGTCACACAGAGCCGTTACAGACCTGCTAAGGAGCCCGTGGCATGGTAACTCAAAGTTTTAAAAAACTCCAGTCAGTGGTACATACACTAGGATTAAATGTCATAATCACTCTATGAGTAATATAATTCTATTAAGCCAGAGTGTTTTGTATTGAAAGCATTAGGCAGAAACACTTAAAACCTAACAATTTTTTGAAGAACTCTTTTGGTTCTTTCTTCAGACTTTTATAAACTGACAGCTTCAAAAATGGAAGTTACTGTTGACCTCTCTCAACCTCCATGAGACCCTGAAACTAGACATAAATGTACATTTTCTCTACTGGGATTTAATTATCAGAAATGTTATGTCCATGGCATTCACATATTTACTCTAGAAACACGCATTATAGATCACATAGGGCATTTGAGAAGGTTTGAAAAATCAGACTGGACTTTCCTCTTGGGGTAATAAGAGATTGGATTAGAGGGCCTTTCAAGGTTCCTTCTATTTTGAGGATCGAGGAATTTTCACATATTTGGATTAGAGAGACCTTTAAAATCTGGGAATAAAAAATTCTGAACCTCTCCCCAACACTCCCAGGTTATTAGGCCATGAAAAGAGATTTCATCCAAATTAAAAAAAAAAAAACAACAAAACTTAAAAAGCCCTGACCAGCATGGCTCCGTGGGTTGAGTGCCATCTCACATGCTGAACGGTCGCTGGTTTGATTCTCAGTCAGGGCACGTGCCTGGGTTGCAGGCCAGGTGCCAGGTTGGGGGCATGTGAGAGGCAACCGATCGACGTTTCTCTTGCCCATCGATGTTTCAGTCCCTCTCTTTCTCCCTCCTCTCCCCTCTCTCTAAAAATAAATAAAACCTTAAAAAAAAGAAGTAACAAGAATTTTGGAGGGTTCTAATAGTAACGGAGCTAACTAGAAATAGAACGCTAACGTATTTGATCTTGGAAGGACAACAGAGAGTCATCCTGACCAGAAACATTCTTAGAAAATGAAACAAAGCTCATCTTCAGGACCATGCAGCAAAAGGCACTGGTGGGGGCCTCACGGGTCCAAGCTGAAGAGGCCAGGTGGGGGTGGGACTGCTGACGTAAATGCTGTGGCAGAAGTGATGTCACTTGCAATGACACTGGGGATGCCCCTCACTGGGAGTCTGAGCCTTACATGTTCTGACCAAGGAGGTGTCCTGGGAGTTTTGGGACAAGTGATAACAGCTGCAGGAGGGAAGCAGCGAGAAGGTGAAGAACATAGTGAGAAAGAAGGGAGAGAAAACAGTAATGAGCAGAGCACCTTCCCCCTCCCTAAATATGTTATCAAAAATGTTAGTGAAAAAAGAATGTTAAAAATGTTTTGGAGCATGAAGGAAATTTTACTAATTTTTTCCATTCTGTCAGGAAAAATGCTTGGGGTGTGTATGTTTGTTTATAATACAACACAATTCCTAAACAATTGTAAGACCATGCACCGTTCTCATGGTAACACCATCAGAAAAGATATGTATTTCCAGACATAAGCCATAAGACAAAGTCAGTAGTAACTTAGATATAACAATGTTTTAAATGCATAATGATGCAAATGATCAGTATTAAGTGAAATGCCGATGCAAAGAATTAGTTTTCTTTTTATAGCTCAGATAGAACTAAACTTCTTTTGGCCATCAGCAAAGATAACCTAATGGCATGACACCAAACTAAAATAAATGTAAATGTAAGTATATATTTGACAGGAATAATTCCTTCTCTATTTTCTTTTTATTTTTTTCCTTCTATCTATTTTCCACAAATCAGTGGTGACAATACCTATAGTTTTTATTTTTAAATAAAGTATATTTTTGACATGCAGAGTACTTACACATTTTTCTAGAATAAGTACTATGACAATTATAGTGATATGATCGCTCTCACTTCATTAGAATTATGGCAGAGCCCTTACATCTCTAATCTACTAAAACCCCGCACTGTCGCCCTGTTTGATGGAACCCAGACCAGAGGAATTAACATGCAAAGTAAAACCAAAAAGGAGACAATCTCACTGGAAACTCCATTTGAAAGGCTCCAGTTTTTGAAGCAGTGAGAAGACTTTATTCTGAGTCTGCACCAAGGCATGAACTCCACAGCAGCATCAAAAAGAGCTGCAGTTATATTTAAATGTTAAATCCGAAGAGAAATCCTAGTGATAAAATCCGAGGATTTCTTCTAAATCAAATGGCAAACAGCCATCCATTGCCTTGCAGAGGAATATTTTAGGTTTAGCTCTTTGATTCAGAGTTGGAAATGATACTAAAATAGGTTTCTGAAAAAATTAAATTATAAACTGTCATATTCCATCCCACTTAATGTGAACGAGCAGAGCCTCTAGGATAAACTCGATTAACATAAAAAAAGGGTAAAATCTTATTTCTGTTTCTAGAGAATAACAAAAGATTCTTAAAAATTATCCCCAAACTGTGCTCATACTTTCCAAATAACAGCAGAAGCTTTTCCTATGGCTATCACTCAAGCAAATATTTTCATTTTAAAGAAAGCTGCCTCCTGAATTTCTTTGCCTAGAGTCTCTTATTGAGAGGGAATTTTTATATCCAGTGATTCAGAATTGGTGGCTTGACCTCTAAGCCACCTTTATGCAACCTCTGAGTCTTGGGAGAGGCCCGTCTCCATGACAGTGAGGCTGATAACAGCAACCCTGAACAGAAAAAGGCAGCTCACATTTGGAGTATCTACCAGGTTCAGGTCCGTGCAAAGCACATGATGTCCATGTTACTATTTCATTCTCAGAACCACCTATGTCTGCTATCACTATCCTCTCGTAAGTAAAGCCAGTTCACTGGACCCCAGAACATTGCTTTTATGACTACATTGTATTATTTCTCCACTGCTGAAGTGCACAAAGCATCCAGCCACAGAAAGACAGTGACCGCAGGCCTGGGCACTCTGCAGGCCTTGCAAAGGCTAGAGATGGTTAAGGACCGCCAGCCACTCTGTGGAGTGTAAAGGGAGCCTGCGTGTGACAGCGGGGCCGGGTCAGAGGTATGCGGAATAAGCTCCACAGCACCGGGAGTGGTGAAAAACTCAGGCTCTGGCATTGACTGAACCAGGGTTCAAACCCTGACCTCGGTGCTTACCAATATATGACCTTCTTACTTAATCTCCTTGAATTAAGTTTCTTCTGTGAAATGAATATGATGATAGGATCCATCTCACACCAAGTTGTGAGCTATAATAAAATGATGCAATAATGCAGATAAAGTTCTTAGACAGTACGTGACACAGTAAGTCTTAGTCATGGTAACTATTATTATTCTGGACTAAGCAGAGACCATGTGGAGCTCAGGAACCTTACTGCAACACAGGAAGCACTGAGTTTTCCCATATTCATGTCTATGGCGCTGAATGGACATGTGAAAGGTCACAGGCTTCTTGCCTACTCAATGCTGTTGAGCAGGCTGCCAAGAGAGGGGAATGGGTGGGTGGTCCTTGCCTTGCATTCAGATAGGAAGGAGGCATTACTGACCGAGTCGACGAGGCTGGCTCTGTGACTTGGCGCTTCATGCGGGTGCCACGAGCACAGTGCTCCTGGCCCCCGACCTGGGTGGAGAGGGGGATGTCAGGGGAGGTGTGGCTGATCTTCATGGAAGCGTCGCCGCAGGGGCTGGGAGGGTCTAGGAAGCCCTCACTGTTCTCCTGCTCATTGGTTTCTGTGTCCGTGTAGTTAAGAGGCTCCTGGTTGTTGTCTTTGCTACTAGAGAACAGGCCTCGTTCTCGCCACGGAACCCAGCAGAGTTTCCAAGACACGAAGAGAGACACGCCAAAGAGAGCCAGGCCACAGGCAGTGACCACAAGGGTCAGCAGGCTCACTGAGATATCTGCAAAGAAGCAGAGATTAAAGGTCAGTAGGGCTGTCACTCCTCCAACTCCTGTGCCCATCCATTGCACAGGGCAGGCAGAATGACCCTGTCATCCATTCACCCCTCGGAAGCCATCTGAGGAAGGCCAGGCTGGGGATGCTGCTGGGCTGTCTGATTCTGAGGCACAGACAGGGAGGACTCGGACGCAGCACAGAGGATGTAACATGCAGGCTCTGTTTGGAAACAAGACACAGGTAGCCATAGCAAGAGACGGGATATCCAGGGGGACGAGGGAGGCCCCGCAAGCCGACATGGCGGCGCTGTCATTTACTACCCAACGACAACGCAAACCGCTGATACTGGATGAGCAGAGCGGTTTCAGCTGTCCTGAAAAAATTCCTTTGTCATCTCAGAGAGCTGGGTAATAACACTTGTGAATTAAGTAACAAGTTTTTAAAAATTAGAGTGCTTTTTTTTCTATTTTTGATAATAATGTCTAAGGGTCTTAGCAAAATGAAGCTCAAGTCCTCTGAAGCCTCAAGAACACCCACATCCCAGTGGTCAGGGTGTCCAGGGCCCAGGGACAATGGTTCTAGTTTGGATTTTCCCAGTAGCAGACCTGAGACACAGGTTCAAGGGCAAGTGGTTTACTGAGGTGAAGATAATACAGGTAGAGGAATAGGGAAGTGATCCAGGGAAGGAAGCCAGAGAAGGGGACTTTATCAAGCCAGTATTACAGGAGCCGGGGGCGGGGGGACTGCAGGATCAGCCTGCTGAGGAGGCTTCATCTACCTGGAGTCTCCCCGCCCCTTGGGCCAGGGACAAGGGCTATTTATTTATAACATCAGCTCCCTTCAGTCACTGATTTGAAGGAAGCTCTCAAGGGGCATTTCCAGCCTTTGGCATGGGCGGTAAAGTAAGCTGCAGGGGCGAGAAAAATCCCACATTTAAATAAACACACGGACTGGCCTTTGGAGGTCAGGAGGCACGTGCTCAGGTAGTAAGGGTGAGGGGATGTGGTTGGGCAGCAGCTGCACCTGCTATGTGAACTATGACCCTTGGCCTTAGGTAGGGTCCACGGCAGCATAGTGTCCAGTGGCTGTGCTTTTAACTCTCAGAACAAAGCCAAACCCCCTCCATGCTTCTACCCCACCTTCTGGCAGAGCCAAGGAGGCTGAGGCATCGACCCAAGCTCAGTCCTAGTGCAGTGGTGCATGTAAACCCCTCACTTTAAAGGACACCCCTACTGCCCTTACTGAGTTACAAGGACTCTCCCCATCATTAATATTTATACTGCGTTAGCCAAAGTTTTCTGAATAGCCCTACATGCCAGGTACTGTGCGAAGCTATGGAGATACAATGGTAAATAATAAAATTAGGAATGCATTATTTAGTATTCACAAATTTAACAATCCACCGCACGGCAGCAATCCACGATACGCGACAATCTGTATTTCTGCCTCGGTGCGCACATGAGCCCTTCCTGCAAACCTCTTATCTACAGAGTCAAGCTGACCTCCTCGCGTCCATGGGCTTTTCAACATGACTCAGAAAGTACCTGATCATTCTTATGAAATGATAAAAGTTTCTTCATGAGAAATTGCTCTTGGCAGAAAGCCAGCTGCCAGGGCTGGTGATGGATCTAGTGTATTTCCACCATGACTCCCAATCAATCTCGGCCATGGTGTGAAACAATACGATATCTTTTTCTGAAAACACTGGGGTTCCAATTTCAGCATGGGTGACTGAGCTCAAATCTTGGCCAGTTTTCTCTCTTCAAGTACCAGTGAAATGGGACAAGCAGACTATACAACAATGGAAAACAAGGCTGGGTTCTGTCAATCCATCAGCGAACCAGTAACATGGAGGAATTTCCGGGACTGTTTTAAAGGAAAAAGCTGATCAGTGCTGGACACTGAACACAGGACAATGAAAACACAGGCCACCAAGGGAAAACTAAAAATAACACACCCACTCTGGATACAGAGCAACAAGGGCAGAGATGAGGAAGTGGGAGCAGTCGGGGGGCAAAGAAAAGGGCTCTGGAAACTACCCTCACAGCGCCACGACACAAGGCGGGGGAGCGGAGAGGCGGGGTCATGGTTTGGCCGCAGGCTCCAGCTCCCACAGCACGGAGTGAAAAACCTGTTGGTGCAGCTTCCACGGTAGGTGGTAGTGCTGGAGGCCTAGGGGAGACCTCCTCTCAGTGGATCAGGCTGTCACGGCAAATGTCAACCCCCACTCCTTCCAATGAAATCTGAAAACAACACAGATTTCACACCCCAGCGAAATCTCTTAATACATTCTGTAATCCAAATGGAGACAAAACTCCTTTCTGATATCCTGTTAATAAGCCCAGCACCATCCTGACACAGACCCCACTAGGAGACCACCAGCAACAGCTAGAGGAGGGCTACTTGGGAAGGCAGAAGGTTTACTTGTATTCTTATTTATTCGGGTTATTTGTCTTCTTATTTGTCCAATATTCACTCTTCCCCACCACAGCGCCCCCTCTGAGGGAGGAGCATAAGCCGTTACTCGCTGATGTTGGTCTTGGCCATGTGCCTTGCTCTAGTCCAGGGACTATGAGTAGATGTGGCCCATGCCACCTCAGACCTCAGGACTCTTGGGCTTCCACCTGGTGCTGAGAGAGAAGAGAGGTCTCATGTGAGGGCTGATCTTCCAGCCTGGATGACATCACAGGACGGCTGCGGCACAGGCACAAAATCCAGAATGAAGAGCAAACTGAAACCTGATCTACAGATGGGGCAGAGGCTGAAGCTGATCCACAGATTTACGGGCAAAACCTAAGCGCTTGATGTTTAAAATCACTGAGATTTTGAAAGTATTTGTTACCATGGCAAAAAGTTCACTAATATAAATGACCCTGTAATTTAGGATTGGGACACTTTTAAGAAGGAAAAGAGATGATATAAAGAATCACATGGGACAAGAGACTTCATCCAGGATTGTCCTGGGTAAACCAGGCCATATGGTCAGCCTGGATTTAAGAATCGCACCTGAACTCTGAACTTACCAGCTTGGTACAGCATGGCCCCTCCGGGTGTACTCGGCACAGAAAACATGCTAAATAAATTAAAGCCTGGGCTCACTCATGCTAGAAATCACAGGGCCCTGACCCAGTTCAAAAATAACTTCAGCTTGTTAGTTGACTCCCAGCCCATGCACCTGAGAAAACAGCTTGCTCACAAGTTCAGTCACGAGGGGTGGGGATAGGATCCACGAGAGCAAACAACTCCTCTGTCTACCTCAACACAGACTCCCAAGCATCTAAAAGAGTGCCGGGCACATAGTAGGCATTCAGTAAGTGTTTGATGAAACCCATCTGAGGAACCCTGTAGCCACCTCCTGGGTTTACCGTGAGTTGTAGTGTGGCTTGTAAACTCCAGGAGGTGATAGTCACATTCATAATCATTATAGGTTTTTGCGCATAGAGTTATTACAAAAAATTTCTGGCAAGTGGCAAGAGTGGTTTTTTCTTGTTCACAGAAAGGTGCCATGTAGGTTGGCAGGGGGCCAGGGAACACCTGACCAGAGAAACTATGGCGCCCTACACAGCCGTACCCACCACTAAACGGGACATCTGGATTCTGTTTGCAAACAGCTCAGGGTGCTCGCTACACAGGGTGCTTGTCCTTGTTCACTCTCTCTCTCTCTCTCTCTCTCTCTCTCTCTCTCTCTCTCTCTCAGAAAGAAGTGCTGAGAAAACTGCTATGGAGTCACTAAGGCTTTACATATTACCTACCTCATACCCCATGACCTCGGGAAAGGGTGAGGGAGAATCCACTTATAATCACAAAATAGTTTTATTTAGAAGAACAGAAGTTATTTCTTCAGTTAGGTGGTAAGTACACAGCCATTTGTTTTATTATTGATCTTGGAACTACGTGTATTCACTATGTATACTCTTTGACCTTCTTGGCATATTTCATAATAAAAATTGTGAAAGATAGCAACATTAAAAATTAATATTCAAAAGATAATTTTTCTAATCGGTCTTTTTGTCCAAGGCTCAAGAGAATAGCCAGAAGGAGATTTAGGGCTAAAAGGAGACAAATGGTAACTCAGTTGTGATCAGATCAGGGAAAGGTGGCTGCTTCGGGGTGACCGTGCATGAAACCACACAGAGAGGCCAGTGATGTGCATTCTCCCAGGGAAGGTGTGGCATGGAGTGTCCTGCACCCAGCCTGATCGTCAGAACCCTCTTCCATGGGCTACAGTCCTTGCCGTAGGATGTGATATATTGCAGTAACATCCCAGGACAGCAGATGCAACATAGAACGACACTTCTAACTCAGCAGACATCCCAGCCTCTACAGGACATCTCTACTTCTAAGGAATCCCTGCAAGCCTAAAGACTGACTCTGGAATGGCAAATGTCATTGTCCAACGAATGAAGAGCTTGAGCACTGTACATGGACAGGGGAACACAGCTGCCCTGCTAAACTGTGAAGAGCCAGAGAGAACATATAAACTGATAACCAAGGAAAAGTCAGGGGACAAATGGGACAAATCAGCAACTTAAAACAGACTAACCAAGCTGAGCCATCAGAATAAATGACTCCTGACATAAAACAAATGAATGCAAGAGGCAAATTAATTCATACGCTCAGTGAGATGTTTAAAACAGTGGGTATGAGTGAGAGGTATGGCTGCAGCAGTGACCACAAGCAGATGCCTGTGAGATCCCACGCAAGCCGAGGAAAGGAGACCGTAGCCCTAGGATTTTACAGCCAGCCCCCTGATCACAAGAGGAAAGGAAAGGCATTTTCAGCAGTCAGTGACTCAGATAATACACTATTCATGCACTCTCTCCTGCATAAAACCTAGGAAATTCTCCAAACGAACAAATAAAAATATGTGTCAGACTAGAAAACCCAAGAAGGAAAGAACATACTACACGAGATGTATACTTGCATACTGTGGATCACAAGAATTAGTGATAAGCAAAGAAAACAGTAAAGAGTACATTAAATCTAAATAATTGCGAGTTATGA